CCCTCCTGTGGTGTGAGCTCATTAATATAGCAAAAAAAAAAAAAAACCTCTCTCTTTTCCACGCAGGGTCATATTTACAGGTCAGGTTTAGGTATTAGGACTTAATATTTTTCGGGAGATACAGTTTAATCCATAATATCAGCCTTCGCCTAAAAATCTTCTTTTCTTCTGCCAGGAGCATTTAAGTTTCTTTTCAGAATCCTTCATCAGCCCCTCAGATACTTCTAAGAAGAAATTTTTTAATTTTCAAACAAAGCCATTCATGACTCTTAACATTTGTATGTCTGACCCCTCCTTTTTCAGTCTCATCCTGGATTTTAGGTTAAGCATGCTAGCTTAAATATAGAGAAAGTTTGAAAACCACAGAACGAGAGGAATGCTATGGGATCTTAGATCCTAGAAGGACAGATGAATAGTTAGTCAATCAAACTCTGATTAAGAACTCCAGGTTTAAACTTATCACTGTTCTGAGGTTCAGTTCTACTGATGCTCTACCACTCTTTGGACATTTTAAAGGAAAAAACAAACAAAAATGCCACACACACACATTTAAAATATACTATTGACTTCTGGAAGTTTTTTAAGGCACTAAGTCTTTTTAGGTTTGAGGATAATTGGCTCTTAGTTAGCCATACTATAAGCTCTCATTTAAATGGTGGTTTATAATTGGCATTATTCTCTTAGAACTGAAAATAGTTGATAGAGAAGAAAGTTATTGGGATGAAGGAAGGATTTTTTTTTTTTTTTTTGGTAGGATTGTGAGCTTTTCTAAAAACCAATAGCACTTTGAGTCTTGGCAGGTGCTAACGTTATGTGGAATTTAATATTTTTAATTTTCTTTTATAGATATCTTCAAGAAGTAGGTTACACTGATACAATATTAGATGTACGATCTCAGAGGGTAAGGTCGTTACTTGGACTGTCCAATTCAGAACCAAATGGATCAGTAGAAACAAAAAATTTAGAGCAGATCCTGAATGGAGGTGAATCTCCTAAACCAAAAGGACAAGAAATAAAAAGGTACGGATTATATTTGTAGATGAACTTTTTTTTTTTTTTTTTTTTGAATATCAACATTACATATCTTTCAGCTCCTTGTTAATACTGTTAGCAATTTTTAAAGCAGAGTTTGGGTTTAAGTACTCCTTGTATGTGTCTCCCCCTCCGTCAGCCCCCCAGTGACGCCATGAGCAAATAACATTTTCTATTTAGGTGCTTTTTAAATTTATCTATATTAAGTTTTGATGCCAAGAAAATAGCTATAGTTCCGAAATAGGTGTAGAGTTAAAACAAAAATTTGAGAGTGATTTCGTTTAGTTCAGGACTATTTTGACATCGTGATTTTTAAAATTTTTGATGTATTTTCAGTAAGTTATGCTACTCTATCACTAGAATAAACAATAAGTGTGAAAGAAACAAAGCTTTGTGTTGTGTTTGAGCTTAGGAAGCTACCGTATACACTTTTAAAAAACATTTTTATTGAGATGTTAGTGCATATCATAAAATCCAACCATTGAAAATATACAACTTAGTGATCTTGTAGGATATTCACACAGTTGTGCAGCTGTCACCACAATCTGAGCTTAGAATATTTATATCATCCCTAAAGGAAACCTCTTATCCATTAGTTGCCATTCTCCATTCTTCCCTTGTTACCAACAAGTTGATTCCAATTCATGGCGATCTCTTGTGTTACAGAGTAGAACTGTTCCATAGGATTTTCTTGGCTGTAATCTTGGCAAAAGCAGATAATTAGGCCTATTCTGAGAAATAAACTCATTAATAAAAAACAATTTGACATCTAATGAAGCCAAAGCACTACCATTGAGCCAGTTCCGCCTCATAGGGCTTCCAAGGCCATAAATCTTTACAGAAGCATACTGCTTCATCTTTCTCCAGTGGAGTATTGGTGGGTTCAAACTGCTGAGCTTTTGGTTAGCAGCTGAGCACTTTAGTCACTGTGCCACCAGAGCTTCTGTAATACCTAGCAGAGCCCATATCTTCTTCATTCTGGATTTTAGAAAGTATAGAGTGTTTTTAGCATAAGAGAAAATGCAAAAGTATTATTACCCAGTTTTAACTCAATTAGCCAGGCTTAGTAATTCATAAAAACCAAAAAGTTGTGCTTGTTGAGTTAATTCTCACTCACTGTGACCCTATAGGACAAAGTAGAACTGCCTCATAGGAGTTTTAAATATTTCAGAGTAAAGCAATTTATTACCTAAAACTGAAGTAAAGATCAACAAAAGTCTGTAGATCCTTCTTATGAAGCTGCTTCTTTTTGGAAGATTAAGAAATTCAACAGTTGTCTGCAATCAAGGTTGATTCCGCTTTCAATGAGGATGCCTGTGTATTTTGACTCTGCACTAATGTAGATGGTGCAAAAAGGACAAGGAGGCCACATACTCTGACCTCCTAGAACCCCACAAGAGGAAGGCAGAATCACCATCAATAATAGCCCAAGGCCTATTACTGCAAGGCCAGACATGCTGCCTCCCTCCAGCCCTTTCACCAACTGTTCCTCCCAAAGCACCACCACCTCTCTCCTGGGTTTGATGATTCGCTGCAGTGGCCACACAGAACTCACAGATTAGGAGATTTATTAGGGAAGCACCAGGTTACAGTTCAAGTTCAGGAAAAACGCTCAGTCTCTCTCCCAGCCCACTGTCTCTCAGCCAAGTCTCTCTCAGTCTCTCCCCCAGCAGTGCATGTCCCTTGGTGTCTTACTCAGCAACGTGTGTCTCTTGCGTCTCTTTCCCAGCAGCATGTGTCTCTTTAGCAGCACGTCTTCCTCAACCAGCAGTCAGAGAGAGTTCTGCCTCTAGGAGGCCTCCTTTTGAGCTTGACAGAGTGGCCAAACTAGCCAATCATAGCATCAGAACTCTAAGCACCTGAAAGAGAGCCTCCCATAACATTGCATTGTGCCACGCCCAACAGAAATAACCCAGGTGGATAACATTTACAGTCAGGAGCTCCTCAGTTGCTCATTCCACCACTGAGTTTACAATGACTTATGGGTAGAAAAGCCATACTAAGTAATTTACTACACTGAAGATGGTATGGTATAGCCATCTTTGGAACCATTGAAAACCCCTGTTGTTGTTGTTGTTATGTGCCGTGAGGTCAGACCCGACTCATAACGACCCCTCCTTGGGTTTCCGAGACAGTATCACTGTGGAAGTAGATTGCCCAGTCTTCCTTCCGAGTACTGGCTGGTGGGTTTGAACCACCAGCCTTCTGGTTAGCAGTCAAATGCCTTAGGCACTACGCTACCAGAGCTCCCTTTGAAACCCCTAGGAATAGGAAAATACACTAACATTTGGGTAGAGATTTTAGCCCTCCCTCTGAAAAAAAAATAAAAGTTTATCACTTTTTTTTTTTTTTTTTTTAAATCAACCAACCAAACCAAACCAAACTCATTGCTCTTGAGTCAATTCCAACTGATAGTAACTCTGTGGAGCAGAGTAGAGCTGCCCCATAGGGTTTCCACGACTGTAATCCTTTTTAAAAAAACTTTTTATTGTGATTTGGGTGCAATTTTACAAAGCAGATTCATTTTACATTCAAAGTTCATATACATTTTGTCTCATGATATTGATTATAATCCCCACAGTATAACAGCTCTCCTCCCACCTCCTCCAAGTGATTACCCTTTCCCTGGGTTCTTCTTACCTGTACATTCTGCCTCCTTAGCTTTCTCCCTTGCAGATGCTTCCCTTCTGATCTCCTCTGGTTGACTGTTACAGTAAGACTGTAATCTTTATGGTTGCAGACCGCCACGTGTTTCTCCCACAGAACAGTTGATGGGTTTAAACCTCCAACCTTTTGGTTAGCACCTGAGTACTTACTAGTAAAAATAAATTAGAAACACTCTAAATGTCCAGCAGTAGAGGAGTAGTAAAATGAATTCATTATCAGAGGCAACATACTTAATGGTTAAGGATGTGAATTTTGATGATGTACCGACTGGGTTTGACTCCTGACTCCATCACTTATTAGCTGTGACTTTGGGCAAGGTACTTTACTTTCCTGTACCTTAGTTTCTTCATTTGTGAAATGGGGATGATATTACCTACCTGATAGGCTTGATGTGAACAGTAAGTGAACCAATGTCAAGTGCTTAGAACAGTGCTAAATAAATGTTGGCTTTTATGAATACTGTGTATCCAACCAAAATGTGACCCTACCAAGAATAGTGTTGACTAGTTTCTGCTAAGTGAATATACTGTTTATATTTCACTATAGGACAGTGTTGTGGGTGCGTACTGACTGCATCATTTTGGAAAGCATCAACTTTATGCAGATTCATTGTAGAAGATAATTCTCTTAAATCTTATGACTGAGAAAAGCTGTGCTGCTTTTTAAGCATTTAGTCTGATTTATCCTTGAATGTCCAGTAGTTGTCCTCTTTGCCTTTTTCCTGTGGCTATTTGTAATACAGGGTCAAATTTATGGCCCCTCATTACAAAGAGTAAAGCTTGCTATAAAACACTTGTGGAAAAGATAGCCTTTGACTTGCAAACCTTTTTCTTGTCTTCATTTTATTTTCCCTTCTTTTGGATATATTATTATATTTTTCAGTCTGTTGTTTGCCTTTTTTAGAATACAAACCAAACCAAATTCACTGCTATTGAGTCGATTGCTACTCATAGTGACCCCTACTTAGGTTTCCGAGGCGGTATCTCTATGGAAGTAGATTGCCCAGTCTTCCTTCCAAGGAGTGGCTGGTGGGTTTGAACCACCATCCTTCTGGTTAGCAGTCAAATACCTTAGGCACTATGCCACCAGACCCCTTTTTATAGAATAAGATAGGAAATAAATAGGTGTTGGCAACGGAAAAATTACTTCAAAAATACTATAGAAAGAGACGTCTGACATAAGTACAGTGACTTCCAAAAAATCCAAATCCACTGCCGTTGAGTCACCTCTGACTCAGAGAGACCCTGTAGGATGAATAGAACTGCCCATTTGGTTTCAAAAGCTATTATCTTCATGGGAACAGACTGCCACATCTTTCTATCATGAAGCAGCTGGTGGATTTGAACTACAAGCCTCTTGGTTAGCAGTCACATGCTTAAGCACTATACCAACTGGGCTCTTTACACTTTAATACACCTAATAAAGATGTATTTTACTTGTGTGCTTTCCAGAAATTGCTAAAATGACAGTTAAAGGCTTTTAAAAGATGCATTGACTCATGAGAACAAAAAACGAGTGTGTATAAGGAGTCCTGGTGGTGCAGTATGTAAGTGCTTGGCTGCTAACTTAAAGGTTGACAGTTTGAACCCACAAGCCACTCCAGGGGAGAAAAGACCTGCTGATCTGCTCCCTTAAAGATTTACAGCCTAGGAAACCCTATGGGGCAGTTTTACTCTGTCATAGGACAGTTAATCATAGTTATCTGTGAGTCAGAAGCGACTTGATGGTACACAACAATAATAACATATGTAAAGAATGAAAAATGGATAATTTAACAGTTTTGGAAACTAGAAGGAAAATGGACAAATGGCAACTAATTTAGTAGGCTTGAGAAAGCTACAGTCTAAGCTCATTCAGAAGCAATAGAACTAAGAAAGGGAAGAAACCAAGTCAGGTTCCAGAATCCCAGAAAAGATCAAAGGCTAAGGAATTAGAGGTATCAGGTACATTAGAGCCCAGTTTAGATGGAACTGTGAATGGAGGATTAGTTTAAGAAGCAGTTAGAATCCCAAATTCCCTTTTTCTTTCTGTGTGGCTGGATGAACACTCCTTCCCTATTCCAGAAGAATAGTGGTACATTTTCTGGTGTAGTTGAACTAAAGATTACTGATTTCTTAAACTATCAAGCAACTTCCAGCCAGGGTTATTGTTGTTGTTATGTGCCATTGAGTTTGCCTCAACTCATAGGGACCCCTCCTTGGGTTTCCAAGGCAGTATCACTACAGAAATAGATTGTCCTATCTTCCTTCCGAGGAATGGCTGGTGGGTTTGAACCGCCAGCCTTCTGATTAGCAGTCAAGTGCCTTAGGCACTACGCTACCAGAGCTCCCTCCAGCCAGGGTAGTATGTGAAAATGTCTAGCTGAGCAGAGAGATCACCCACTTTCTTTTCTACTTGGTTTATATTCCTTCCTGACAGTATATTAAAACTGATCTCATTTATAAAAAAGACTTAATGATTTTGACAATTGGATCTGCCAGTGAAATGGCTGGGCCTCTGTCCTGTCATCAAAAAGTGAAAGCATACTACTTGACAAACCTCATCCATGTACACAAAATATCCAATTAGCTTTTAGATGCCTCACTCTTAAATGTAACTACTTAAGGAAAGATTTTAACATAAAAGTTAGGCAACAAAGGAACCAAACCAAAAAAGGAGCTCTGATCAGACAGATTTGTAGGGAACAGAAGAATTATACAGCTTACAATTATGCTCCTGAGGAAGAGTGAGAGAAGACAGTGTACTTGCAAAACAAACAGGATGCTATTGAAAAGATTCAATCAAAGATCAAATAAGAGTTGCTAGAAATAAAATATGTGATATAAACAATTTCCACATGTAAAACTTGGAAGATAAGGTTGAAGGACACTTCCAGAAAATAATGGAAAAATAGAGAATAGAAATGATGAAAAAATTTAAAGATTAGAATAGGAAGTCCAGCGTTTGACTAATAGAAGTACCAGAAAAAGAGAACAAATGAAACGGTGTTGAAAAGATTATTAAGGTAGTAATGTAAAAAATATCACAGTATGTTTACAAAAATGTTCCCAGATTAAAAGAGTTCCAACCAAATGTCCAAAGAATTTCTAACATAAGATCCATACAGAGGCCATCGTCATGAATACTAAAAATGAAGAAGCAGTTCTAAAATCTTCCACATGGAAAAATCATTGAGAATCAGACCAGTATAAAATTATCAACAACATTTAAAACTAGAATATAGTAGAGGAGTAATTGCATTCAAGATTCTGAGGAAAAAATAATTACTGTTTAGGTTTCTGTACTGAAGCAAACAAGTGAATTGCATGAGAGAGTAGAAAAAAGATGCATTCAGACAAGAGAGTCTTGAAATTTTACTCCTCATTCATCTTTTTTCAAGAAGCTGTTAGAGAAGATATGCTTTAGCAGTCTGAGGGAGTAAATAAGGAAAGAGGAAGATGTGGTATCCAGGAAGAAAGCTGATCTAATACAGGAGAGAGACAGAGGAAGTTTCAGGAAACAGTTGTGCAGAGGGCCTAGAGGGTAGCCACAGTAGAATGGAAGAAGATTGCACCAGAAGGAAAGTCTTTTAGAAAATACCATATTGATACATTAGCTGATATGTTGGAGGATTTTGAAATATAGCAGATTTCTAACTCTGCTAGAGAATTTCTGGGAAAGAATAAAAAAGTAAGAATTATTAATTTCAGGACAACCATATGCACAAGAAAGGAAATAGAATGATTGCTTATAATGTGACCTAAATGTTAATAGTGTTTACAGTCATAATGTAATCATGGAATAGTAATTTAGTTAAGTGAATTGATGTAATTATATTACCATCAATATAATTGGAGGAAGTGTGAAGTAT